CCTCTTCCTTCACTAACCCTGTGAGATCAGATTCACGTGACTTGACTGAAGGGTAACATATGTTATTTGGGATCCCAATTCCTTACTAAAGTGCAGGGCGGTGGGGTAGCCTAGTGGTTAAAGCGTGCGCTCTTCATGCCGAAGACCTGGGTTCGATTCCCCACATGGCTACAATGTGTGAAACCGATTTCTGGTGTCCCTCGCCGTGATATTGCTGGAATATTGCTAAAAGTGGTCTAAAACTAAACTCACTCATTCACTAAAGTGCAGATTCTATTACTTTTGTTGGGTTGAGTCCCACCCGGGCTTTTGAACCCACACCCTCAGAGCCAGGCACCTAATCACCCCTTTCTAAATGACATTGTGTATTCATTGACTGAAGGGTATTATCATACCCCAGTAATATAGATCACACTTTCTGTCACTGGTTTGTTCAATGGGGACATAATTCTTAGAGCCCAAGCCCAAATATCGCTGCTGCAACATCAGTGTTACTCACTGTTCCCTTATTGACCAGTTTCGAAAACTGCCAGTGTCACCTTCATGTTGAAGGTTTACAGGGGCCTGCTGTGAGGCACGTGCCCTGTCCGTTATCATCCGTGTGACAAATTGATGTACTTGAGATAAATCTGATGAGCTGATTAATACTTTGATGTCTCACTGACAAGAGATAGAGGGATAGCTAGGCCTGACATGACTCAACACGTGACATCGGTAATTACAACTGGACAAATCATCATCGCGCCAGGATGTATTGATCAGTCTTATCGCCTCAAAGGATCACAACAAGGGAAGCATATGTCTTGGCCTACATAATCTGCCATTTGACAAGTGAAAAATATTTATAATTCCTCATTTCTTTGTTTATCTACAAGTTTTAAGTCAAAACTAATCACAGTCAATAATAATGTTTTGTTTGTGTAGATGTATGCCGGATTCCCTATCCCCACAAACACAAGAAACAGCTCTATGCCCATGTAGGGTATGAGGATGCTTGCATCCAAGCAAAAACTTTATTACTTTTAAGATGTTTGATAGAATTTTTTAATAATTTTTCTTTTAAATAATTTCTTTATTTTTGTTGTTTTAAGTTTAATGGATAAATTGGCTTTCTGGTTGACACATTTTTCAAATTGCATCCAGACGGAACTCATGTGATTGCAATACCAAAATAGATCAACTGTTTCACGTTGGTTATTACAATAACCACATAAACTGCTGTCTACGTATCCCATTTTAAAGAGTAAAGAATTTGTTGGTAAAATATGGTGAAGAATTTAATATTGAAACCATTGCTGTTTAGAAATTTGCAGACATTTAGTTGGAATCACATCGTATTTTTGTCTGTCAGATTTCAGTACTTTTTCCCCAAATACCAATTCCCATTTTGTAAAATGTTGATTTTGTAAACGTTGAGTTTGTATAAGAGTTTCATAGTAGTATCAATTTTCTTGTACTGTTTTATGCAGATGTATGATATTAATTGGCAGAGGGACATTCAAGATTTGTTTTAAATTTTGGAAAACCCATTCCACGACAATATGCTTTGACAGATGCTACCACGCTGTTGAACTAGAAACTTAACATTAATGTCATAATGTTGTTTGAACTCTTCAAGGGTATAAAAATATCCATGTTCATTAATAACATCGCTTATAAAATTTATTAATTTACTTTGTCATTGCTTTAATGAGACAAGTCTTTTACCAATTGTAATGTAGCATATTAATTTCAGAGTTATCTACTTGGCTAACATTGTTTACAAATTGAACCAAGCAAAAGCAATAGTAAGAACAAGCAATATGTTTTTGTATCCATGTTTTTGGGTCATTCATTTTCGTTGTCCAGATATGTTTTCGAATATTCCTTAGCAGGCTTAATTCAAACAATTGTTTTGATTTTGTTGAATTGTGTAAGTAATGTCTCTGTAACATGGAAATCTTTTGAGCCTGTATGAGTTCTTAATTTTGGTGCAATTTATACCACCACCTTCTGTTTTGCAAATAATTTGTGTTCTCTTGATCTTGTCACGGTTGTTCCCATAAGAATTTGAATATTTTCTTTTAGAAAGGTTCTAACATTGAATCGTGTGTGTGTGTGTGTGTGTGTGTGTGTGTGTGTGTGTGTGTGTGTGTCTGGTAATGCTGAAAACAGGTGATTTAGCTTAGGTAATATGAGTGATTTAAGGATAGCATTTCTCCCAAGAGGTGTAATGTTGCTTACTGATGATAAACATTAATGTCTTGACAGAAGTGTTTGAAAACAAATCTCTAATAAGCAGGACCATAAGTTAAAAACCTTCAGACTGCCTGTTCTATCTATATGTAATATTAGGGATATTAAGTAAGTCTCAATATATTAGTCTTTTAGTGTGTGATTCGCCAAAATACTATGCAGCAAGCAATTAGATTCAAGGGTCATTAAATTTTATGCTTTTGATAGCACTAAGCTCTCTATAAGTGCATTCAATGCCCGCCTTGGACAACTTCATCATGTTTGTGATTGCTGTGGTATGGACATTTTGTTATTATCACAGGATAAAGCACTATACTTTTTAACTGAAACCACATCCCTGTAGATGAATGCTGAGCCCCACAATGCTCAGCCTATACTAGTCTTGAAACCACATCACTGAAACCACATCCCTGTAGATGAATGCTGTAGCCCCACAATGCTGTAGCCTATACTAGTACTGAAACCACATCCCTGTAGATGAATGCTGAGCCCCACAATGCTGGCCTATACTAGTACTGAAACCACATCCCTGTAGATGAATGCTGAGCCCCACAATGCTCAGCCTATACTAGTACTGAAACCACATCCCTGTAGATGAATGCTGAGCCCCACAATGCTCAGCCTATACTAGTACTGAAACCACATCCCTGTAGATGAATGCTGAGCCCCACAATGCTCAGCCTATACTAGTACTGAAACCACATCCCTGTAGATGAATGCTGAGCCCCACAATGCTCAGCCTATACTAGTACTGAAACCACATCCCTGTAGATGAATGCTGAGCCCCACAATGCTGAGCCTATACTAGTACTGAAACCACATCCCTGTAGATGAATGCTGAGCCCCACAATGCTCAGCCTATACTAGTACTGAAACCACATCCCTGTAGATGAATGCTGAGCCCCACAATGCTCAGCCTATACTAGTACTGAAACCACATCCCTGTAGATGAATGCTGAGCCCCACAATGCTCAGCCTATACTAGTACTGAAACCACATCCCTGTAGATGAATGCTGAGCCCCACAATGCTCAGCCTATACTAGTACTGAAACCACATCCCTGTAGATGAATGCTGAGCCCCACAATGCTCAGCCTATACTAGTACTGAAACCACATCCCTGTAGATGAATGCTGAGCACTACAATGCTATAACCACATCCCTGTAGATGAATGCTGAGCCCCACAATGCTCAGCCTATACTAGTACTGAAACCACATCCCTGTAGATGAATGCTGAGCCCCACAATGCTCAGCCTATACTAGTACTGAAACCACATCCCTGTAGATGAATGCTGAGCCCCACAATGCTGTACTGAACCACATCCCTGTAGATGAATGCTGAGCCCCACAATGCTGGAACCACATCCCTGTAGATGAATGCTGAGCCCCACAATGCTCAGCCTATACTAGTACTGAAACCACATCCCTGTAGATGAATGCTGAGCCCCACAATGCTCAGCCTATACTAGTACTGAAACCACATCCCTGTAGATGAATGCTGAGCCCCACAATGCTCAGCCTATACTAGTACTGAAACCACATCCCTGTAGATGAATGCTGAGCCCCACAATGCTCAGCCTATACTAGTACTGAAACCACATCCCTGTAGATGAATGCTTAGCCTATACTAGTACTGAAACCACATCCCTGTAGATGAATGCTGAGCCCCACAATGCTCAGCCTATACTAGTACTGAAACCACATCCCTGTAGATGAATGCTTAGCCCTAGTACAATGCCACATCCCTGTAGCCTATGCTAGTACTGAAACACATCCCTGTAGATGAATGCTGAGCCCCATGCTCAGCCTCACAATGCTGGAACCACATCCCTGTAGATGAATGCTGAGCCCCACAATGCTCAGCCTATACTAGTACTGAAACCACATCCCTGTAGATGAATGCTGAGCCCCACAATGCTCAGCCTATACTAGTACTGAAACCATCCCTGTAGATGAATGCTGAGCCCCACAATGCTCAGCCTATACTAGTACTGAAACCACATCCCTGTAGATGAATGCTGAGCCCCACAATGCTCAGCCTATACTAGTACTGAAACCACATCCCTGTAGATGAATGCTGAGCCCCACAATGCTCAGCCTATACTAGTACTGAAACCACATCCCTGTAGATGAATGCTGAGCCCCACAATGCTCAGCCTATACTAGTACTGAAACCACATCCCTGTAGATGAATGCTGAGCCCCACAATGCTCAGCCTATACTAGTACTGAAACCACATCCCTGTAGATGAATGCTGAGCCCCACAATGCTCAGCCTATACTAGTACTGAAACCACATCCCTGTAGATGAATGCTGAGCCCCACAATGCTCAGCCTATACTAGTACTGAAACCACATCCCTGTAGATGAATGCTGAGCCCCACAATGCTCAGCCTATACTAGTACTGAAACCACATCCCTGTAGATGAATGCTGAGCCTGTACTAGTACTGAAACCACATCCCTGTAGATGAGTGCTGATCCCCACAATGTACTAGTACTGAAACCACACTCAATGGTCATAGAGGAAACCTATCTGCTTTATATACTCCAGACATCACCTTTGAGGTCAGTCAGGTTAAAGGTATTGAAGTATTTCCCCTCTGATAGATACATTTGCCTTCAAAAACATGTATTTTAAACCACTGCTGTGATGTGACAAATTCCTTACTCAATGGGAAGGTAGTGGAAGCTCTTCACTCCGTCTTTGCCATATCCTTTATGCAGCTGTAGTCATTGATGCAAACCATATGAACTCAACTCCATATACTCCCGAAATATTTATTCTTCAAAACATTAGAAGTTTATAATAATAAAATAACTTATCATCACAGCAACATGTAAATATTAACAACAACACAATGCCAGCAACTGACACATGCTGACTTGAAAGTGACCCAAACACATTGCAATATCACAGATAATGAAACTTATTTGAAAAGACTCATGATAAATATGGTTTGAGTAATGTGAAAACTACTGGACTCCAAATATTGTGAAACATGTATGGTGAGAGAGTGGAGATACTCTCTTATATGACTGTTACTTTGGTATTGTCTGTAAACTTACGTGTTGGAACTGCAATCAAAAACTCTTTTGCCTTTTTCATTATCAGATAATTGTGTGCACACCCAGAAACCTACCTACACTATTGAATATAACAAACAGTAAAATCTGTTCTGTGTCGGAAATCTTATAAATCTTTTCAAGCAGTTTTTATGAGGCTAACAAAAGAATGCTGAAAATAGAAACTAAATATAATGACATTTCATAAAGGTATGCAGCCTTACTTCAGGGATGGTGTAACTTACAAGTTACTAATTGGAAAGTTGAAAAAATATTTTTCATTCTTTTCCCTGGCTAATTGCATTGAAATTTATCCAAAGTTTAAGGTAAACCATTTTGAGTTGGTGTCACATGACTACATGAGTTATTTATTCATGCTACACTGATAAAACATAGGAAGGTAAGTGTTTCCATACATTTGGAGTTTTGGCAACATTCATGTACTACTTTTAACATGATGACAATGAATCAACAACAACCAATATATACAAGTGTGTCACATGACAGACAGTGTGGATGAAGGTTCAAGGTCATTAATACACAACATTCTTCATGCACCCTGTATAACAGAGGAGGGTCAACATTGGACCAACTAATCAACTAACATCCCTGTAGATGTGACAGTGAGTGTTACAATTAACAGATCTTGATACAAGCATTTTGCAGGCAGCAAATTTAACTTGCCATCAATATTTGAATTTTCTCATGTGATTTCCCATTATTCATAATCTAAGATATAGCTCTGTATATCCAACCACTTTGATGCCATGCTAAACATTTCATGGAAATAGGAAGCTTATTGCAAGTATTTTCAAACTAATCTTTGGAGACAAAATCCAGGATTCTCTTCATGGTTTGATATCTGCAGAGATGCCAACTCCACACATTGTCTCCATGGTTTGATATCTGCAGAGATGGCAACTCCACACATTATCTGTCAACTGTCTCACTGTTCTGGATTGTCTCTCACATGCAAAAATGTACTCTGTGTTACACAGACAGAATACTTAATTCAACTAATATCAAAATATTATTTCATCAAACATAACCACATTTACCGCTAGCTTACCATGAAAGCTAAGTTTATTGCAATCATTGGATACATAACACTACTAAACAACATGTGCATGCATAAACCAGCTAGGTTTGGCGACAGTCTATCGGTATTGACATGGCAGAGGTTGTGCTTTCCTTGTGACTGCTTCTCTATAGGGGGGGACTCAGTTGGCAGTGTTTGGCCAACTCTTTCATATGAGTAGTATCAATTGAAAGGTAATGATTACAATGTTACAGTTTCTTGCAGGGCTCTAGTGACATTGCCTGCCAGCAGAATGACAATGGGCACATCACAGTCTAGCACCTCTCCCCTAAAATGACAAACATTCTGTACATATTTCTACCTCAGTTCTACATGAATGGATTTGAGTTGCTCTGTCAGTGATGATATGAGCCTGGCCCCGAGTTGTAACCATGGTGACCTTGAAAGTTGGCACGCCCATGACCAGATGAATGACTGCCTCTCTGTAGAATCATGACTGGTGAAATTCCTCCTCTTTGTGAAGAAGGCAGATGATGATGCATCATGGGGCCCATGTAACCCATTTGGTGGTTGTACCCATGCTGGAAGTGGTTTTGATTGAACATTCCCATTCCATGATGTCCACCCACAGGTCCCATATTGCCATGAGGAACATAATGACCCCCACCACCTCCACCACGCGATTCTGTTGCTGCTGGTGGTGGTTGTGGCCATGACCTTGATAATGTCCTTGACCTCCATGAGAACCTTGGTAGTGACCTTGCTGACTAGTGGGAGTGTTTGAGCTGTGTCCTGATCCCTGGCTGCTGGTGGACGAGTTTGATCGGGTGAGGGATGCAGAACTGGAGGACTTTGTGGCAGTGCCAGGTGGACCAGACTCTGCCTGGCCATCACTGTCACCACTGTCTTTCTGCTCAGGCATATCACAGTCTTTGCTCAGGAGCTTTGGTGGAGCTGAGTTGTTATGCTTCAGGATGACCTTGGTTCCAGAAGATGGGGACGAGCGCTTCTGGTAGTTAGGATACTTGTCCCAGAGTTTCAGGAGAGCTTCTCCAACACTGGGCTCAATTTCCTGGTAGAACATAACATTTCATACTCATTGTTTGCATTTCAAATCCAAAAGGTGGGAGAACACAGAAAATGTGAGAGTTTGGTTTAATGCTCGTATTTCAGTCATCTCACAGAGCATGTTGGGGATAATGTTGAATATCCTTACAACACTGATACACCCAGCGAGCACTGGAACATTGCTAACCAAGGATAATAATGGGGAAATTTGAGAATCAGATTCCTTTGAAAACAAATATTGAAATTTTGACTTTTAATAAGTAACAAGTGATTTTCGGCTTATATCCAGGCATGCCAATGTAAATGAGGATTCAAACTCTGACAGGATTATTGTACTGTTGCATGCGGCCTTCAGGTCTCACTACCACATATCTCTTTCCTTCTTCCCTGACAGTCTGCTCAGAATTATTTCCCCAATCCCACCATACGTTTTCATTGTCAGTGTAGTACTGAGGCATAAAGTAAGTGTGAAGCGTCTCAAAAGGAGCAGTTGCAAGGTCAAGTTCATATTCAGTCACCGTTCATTTGCAATAGCATAAAAATCCACATAAATTGCTAGATGTGATACATACAAGTGGGGGGCTTAGTGTTTGTGACAGCTTTTCAAACTCAGGTGTATTTGTATGAAAAGAGGAATGTCATTATTATTGTCAGAACTTTTTTTTTCTGATTATGGTGATAAAGACACATTATGACCTCAACTGACCTCAAGACAACTGATAACTGACTATGCTATAAGAAGTACAGGAAATTGTTGTTCAAGAAACTCCAAGGAAATGTCAGTAATGTAATCTGTACCTGGCCATCCCTGCTGACCTGGACCTTCTTGTTCTCATTCCAGGGATTGGTCAGGTGGTGTGTGCTCTGGAAGGGGATCATTGCCCTGCAACATACACACTACAGCTTAGTCGTATTTTATCATGTCCGCATCTTACTTTTTACACTGCCAGGAGGGACATGACATTTGGGAGACAGTCATAACATAATCTGTCTGTCTAGGAGGGACAGGCTGGGAGACAGTCACAACAGCTAGGAGGGACAGGCTGGGAGACAGTCACAACAGCTAGGAGGGACAGGCTGGGAGACAGTCACAACAGCTAGGAGGGACAGGCTGGGAGACAGTCACAACAGCTAGGAGGGCCAGGCAGGGAGACAGTCACAACAGCTAGGGGGACAGGCAGGGAGACAGTCACAACAGCTAGGGAGGGACAGGATGGGGAGACAGTCACAACAGCTAGGAGGGACAGGCTGGGAGACAGTCACAACAGCTAGGGGGAACAGGCAGGAGACAGTCACAACAGCTAGGGGGGACAGGCTGGGGAGACAGTCACAACAGCTAGGGGGACAGGCAGGGAGACAATCACAACAGCTAGGAGGAAACTCACCCTGGCTTACAGCAGAACACAGAGCCAGGAACCAAAGATAGCAGCAACACATACTGCTTACTGTCATATATGGATCTTGCACACAAGAGGTGAACAGTCCACAAGTAACAAACAACTAGATTTATTCAAAATCCAGTAAAATCACAGGTTTTCTAATATATATCAATAAAAAGGCTACATACAAGGAGAATAAGTCATATTGTTACATACATTTCACGCTAAATACCAATGGACAAAGGATAGTAAAATGCTAACCTCTTGACCCACTCAATGGCAAAGCTACCACTGAGGCCAGGTGAAATAAAATCTTGTGATTTGTCTTTCCGGATTTCGGACAGCATCTTGGCATAACCCTGGAAGTGACCACTGCCTTGTATGGAGAAAATCAGGTACACTGTCTTGCCATCCTACAACAGACAACATACAGAACAGGCATCACCAGAATACCGTGAACTTGTCTGAACAATGTCAAACAGAATCCTAACAAACTGGACTGTTCCTACATACACATGTCAGTAACTGATATGGGATGCTAGCAGTCGGAAGAAGGGGAAAAGTCCACACTGACCTGGAAAGCCTTGTTGAGTTTCTTCTCATTGCTGACAGATGTGGCCCACAACCCCTTCTGCAGGGAGATGTCAAGGTTCTTCTGGTTGTTACACTTCATCACAAACAGCCTGCAGGGGTGGGAGCTGGTCCCCCCTGGGTCCCTCTCTGCCCACTTAGAGGGTGAGGAGGGCTGGGGGGAGGGGCATGGGGTGCTGCCGGCACTGCCCTTCAGGCTGTTGGCACTGCTGTTGCTTGCTGAGTTGCTGTGGACGGAAGATGTCTCCAGTCTGTCTTCACTGGTCTTGCTGCCTTCTGAAACAGACAGGCATGGATAGCTCCCTTAGTGTTCTAAGAAAACAAAACTTATTCTACCATGAACCTGGAAACTACTGATTCTGACTGGTCAATCAAAGGTATCAACTGCAAAAACAACACTTCTGATTTAAACAGTAAATTGGAGACCTGCATCACTGTGGATGCTAATATTAATAGAAGAGTACCATACTGCAAGGCATACATAATTCAGTATACAAAACACTTTCAATGTTGGTAATCTATGCAAATGACATTCTGCAATGTAAAAATGTGCAAATACAAGACCATATTTCTTCAGTTGCAAATTCAATTTAGCGAGGTGAAGTCTACAGTTAATTTTGCTCTATATCGAAAACACAGCATTATCTACAAATTGGGTGAATGAACAGAACAAATAATCAACTGTCCTTCAGCAAAAGACCCATACATGAATCAACAATTCAACACTGTAAATAGCCACATCTGCGGCATAACTCAACTTTCACTCAGTCACTATTATCTGTGAGTTATTGATAAGATGAACAAACACAATTTAAAATACACCCAAATAAGAAACATTTTACTGATAGACAACTTAAATTCTTTTAATGAAATGTATAATGGACAAAAATAGTTAGGGATATATGTAAATTTTGAAATTATGAACAATTATCTATCTATTCATTGACACACTGATAAAATATCAATCATAAAAATACCAATATCCCTAACTTATTTTGTCCAGTATATTAAAAGAAAAACAGAGCACAACTTACTGAGGTTGATTTCCTTTCTCTTGGGCGGAGTTCCTGGGTATTTGCGGTTGTTGTACTTGCCCTGGTTGTCATCAGCTTCGATGTAGCCTCGACTGTTGCCTGATATCATCATCGACTCAGCAGCTGTGAACACAACACAACACAACACAGATCAATGCTCAGCATAGACCAAAGTGTGCCCTGCAATATGACTGGTACATAAATGTTCTGAAATGTCCTGGAAATAGTTTGTTTCTTTCCGTGTAACAATATTACCACATTCAACTGGGTGACATTATTATAGTATTCCTCACATGAGTTTGATTGTCATTCATCTGAACAAATCTAGTAGAATGTAGATTTTGTCCACTTTTGTTGAGGTAGGTCTTTATCACAGAATGAACCAGGTCATCAAAACACTTAAAATGACCTCATGTCTTCCCAGAATTTGAGTGCCACTGAAAGACAGTAGGATAATATACATACTCAGATTTACAGCTATTGAGTAATAATGATTATGTGCTTATTCAACAGGTGCCATATGTGCTTAGATTTTAGAATCGTTTATTTTTAGCAGTATGGAAACACGGTTACTGACGATATATTCCTGCTATATCACAGAGACAGTGATGAGTGTGGAGATCTTACATCACATCAGCATTATTTCAGTCACACAGAGAAGAGATACTGCAACTATTTTCTAGCTACATCACAAGTACAGTTTCTGCAGCTATGTCACAGAGATATGGTTAATGAAGCTGTATTCAAGCTTTATCACTGAGATCTGTAATCAGAACCAGTGATAAATGTTATTACCAGTGTCCGATAGTGCCAACACTTTGCCAATCAGATCAACAACCTCGGACACATTAAGTCGTCTCTTGTGCCAAACATAGGGTATGTGAAACCTATTTTAACCCAGAATCCCAGAGTTTAACCTATTTAGAGTTTTGTAGACTTACACATAGGTCTGGGTCTTTGTCCGATACCAGCTGGTTGCTGCAGACCCTGAGACTGCTCCTCATTGGTCAGGACATTTATCACAGCTCGTACAACGGCCTGTAACAGAGCAGCTGGGTGTTACTAAAGGGTCACACAGGCCAATAGATTGTGTATCCCTACAGTGAGATCGTGTATCAAACAGCACTAATATGGTTCATTACCTGTGTCATCTGTAGTCACCAAAATATTTTGCATTTCGTCAACAAGAAATTATTACAGTATGATCACTATCCCATGACCTTAGAATTTGAGGTGTTTCCTTCAATACTGATTTTCTACAGCGGGTGCAACAAACAGGATGCAATATAGCTTGGAGAAAGGTAGGATAGCTCCAGAAAGAAAATACTACAACCCCAGGTTTTAACTTAGTCTTGCTGAGTATGTTTTAGATAAGAATACAAAGTTTCATTCATGTAACTTCAGCAGTTTGAGGTAACCTATCCCAATTGCAGCCACATGTAACAAGGGACATAACTCTGTAAAAGGAAATAATTTAAGAAAACTCATTGGAGACTGTGGTCTGTAACATCAGTAAATAAATTTTCATTTCACTGACCAAAGAAAATATGTTCCTGGTGAGAAGTGGACAGAAGGATTGAACATATGCATTTTCCAATATTTACCTCATCCATTTGTGACCATGGCCACTTGGGTCTCAGTTGCTTTCATCCCTGGCCCGACGGCTGGAACAGACTGTTACTACTTCTGTCTCAGTTGCAGCACTCAAGTTGATCCCGACTGTGGGACAAGTGTGTCAGTACTCATTACTACCTGATCTGGTCAGTCAATGTCAGTGTTGTCAGTGTTGTCAATGTACCCATTACTACCTGGATCTGGGTGTTGTCAATACTCTTGTATGATAAATTCAGTCAATTGAAGTTGTCAGTACTCAGCTACTACCTGATCTGGTCAGTCAACAGTGTTGTCAGTACTCATTACTACCTGATCTGGTCAGTCAATGTCAATGTTGTCAGTACTCGTTACTACCTGATCTTATCAGTCAATATCAGTATTGTCAGTACCCATTAGTAATGGATCTGGGCAGTCAATGTCTTGTATGATAAATTTTGAAAGCGATCAAGTCAACTGCAACTACACAACAACACACAAACAGACATTGCCACATAATACAATAGTAATGATAATGAACAGTAACTAATGCTATTACATATATTCTGATTTCTCTTTTTCCTCAGAATGCATCATCATACATATCTATACAGATACCTATATAGCAGGATTGCATTTTCTCAGATGACTGTATTTGGCATCCCCAACAAACATTCAAACACTGTCCATAAATACATGTGTGAAAACATTTTCCATATTCATACAAATGGCAGAAAGGCAAGTCCATTGTATGATTCAACAGTATCAAGAATCAGTACCACATAGTGATGACACCAGGTGGTCATGAAAGGGTGTCCTGCCTCCAACCTGTCCTAGCCAGGTGTGCTCACCTCCTTGTCCAGCCGGAAACACAGCCAGTCGTCCAGCTGCAGGGTGGACTTCTTCAGGTCCTCCTTGTCTTCACCCTCACTGTCACTGCTGTGGTCAGCGTACATCCCATCGCCAGCCTCATCTGGAAGTAACATGGGTTACAGCATCTGTTCAGTCATATAATCTTGTTTTCCTTCCTTCTGATGAAGGACAAGACACCATAGTAAGGACATGACCGAGTCCCTTAATCATAGTTTGACTCCTAAATATTCAAATCATGTAAGCAGAACTTCTACAATCTAGACACATATAGTGAATGGCAAGGTCATTCTATACAGTGTTACTGAAAACAGGAAACAGCTGTGTGAATGACGAGGCGGCAGATAACATGTTTTGTTCCCTTGATGAGAGTCCACTGCGATTAAGTACTGATGATATGTTCATAATGAGAACATCCACTTAGTGATTGAGTGAGCTGGGTTTGAACAGTTTTCCAGTTATGGCATGTAAGCTTGAGGTGTAAGCAGGGTCTGAAGTCATTCAGCTGTGAGATGTTTACCACTTTAGGGAAGACCCAGGAGCACAGAGTATGGACAGCATGGTGCTCACAAACCTAGGTACACAGGGTTCGAAATACCCCATATATTAGCATGCCATGGCACGGTAAATACTGAAATGACACGGCTAAAAAAAAATTTCGGTGCCCTTATGACACACCTAATTTTTGGGAGACATAACTCACATTTAGTCAATTAATCCCCAAAACAATTATTTTTCTCAAACCTGAATAATGCCATACATATTTGAATGCTCATAAACCCATTTCTTTATTTAACAATAAATTTCAAATGATCATCATCATTGTCATTTATTCTAAAAACATGTGGGCACACTTGATTTCCGAAAGGCATACCTAAAATATTTGTCTGGTGCCGTAAGGCACACTTAGAAAAAAAAGTATTTCTATCCCTGGTACATAATATGGAATGCAACTTTGCACAGCAAATTTTGTGTCCATGCAGACTTAGCTACCTGTGGGACAAGTCTACACAGAGTAAAGTAGAATGTAATATATATATACTTTGGCAGTAAAAACAATTTCCACCTACGTTCATGGATGCCCTCTGCCTCCCTTATGGCTTCCGTCGGCAACTTGGATGGCCCAGCAAAGATGGCCACAGCAACAGCTGAGAGGACGGTGCAGCACTTGGCACTGGCCATTTTGTTGAAGCGCGTCATTTCCTCATAGATCAACCAATCCCCCTGGAGCATGCGGACAGACTTGGCATGGGTGGATGCCCCATTTACCCACTCAGTGGTGGGGGCGGGGCTCAGCACAGACTGGCTGTGGAAACGCACCTTGGACTCTTTCCTGAAATGGTAGAAATATTTGACTGAAAATAAGAACAAAATTATTACACAGCTAGAACAAGTGACGGAGAAGTTCAAAACTAGGAAACAATAGATAGAGTGTTAGGAAACTTAAAATACAGTAGTAATTGAGTAAGTGTAAATGGTCCCTGTTATATCTGGGTAAAACAGCAGCCAGACTTGCCTCAAACAAGTCAGATGAGGTGAAATGAGGCTTAATGTTTCATTCCAATACCTTATACAAGCACTGGTACTGGAGACAACATGGAACTCAATGCAGTGCTATCATGAAGCCTTTAAGCAGTAAACTAATCAATATCAACATTCACAGTCAATCATTTGAAAATGTAAAGTGTATTACCATAAAATATAATGGTATGCAAGAGCTGTAAAAAGAGTGCACATTCCTCTTGCCACATAACGCTAAGTGTTTGCTTACTGAGTGACCACGACATTCCTGTTCCGGTCCACACAGGCAATGTTTGGGTACATCCCTGCACACAGTGCTGCCTTCACCACGGCCCAGTTCTCTGAGTTAGTGTTCAGGTCTCGGATGTCACCGCCACCACGGGCTCGTACAAACCCAGAGGCTCTCAGCTGACCCAACAACTGAGTTCTGTAAAATAGATGTTCATATTTACTGCTTTAAGTATTTTGGGTGATAAGATTTCATGCCCTGGTTACTTCATTTGCTGATGACAATGTGTCAAGTGTGACAACCTCTGCGTTTATAAAGCATTAAGCCAGGTGAAAAGCCAGTTAAAAATATTATTGCTGATGACAATGTGTCAAGTGTGACAACCTCTACGTTTATAAAGCATTAAGCCAGGTGAAAAGCCAGTTAAAAATATTAATACATACGGGTGAACTTTTTTACCTGAAGAAATAGAGATGTTGTATAACTCACAACTCATTGTGTAAAGTTAATATCACAAACAATGAGCAGGATAAAATATGAGCTGTTGTAGCCTGAGTATTGTGTAAAGTTGATATGGCTAACAATGAGCAGGATAAAAAAAAGAGCTGTTGTAGGGTCAATATTGTTGTCATCCTTAAAGTAACAACAATTTACCTCATTCCAACTATCATCTCCATGCATGCCGAGGAGAGGAAGTTCCTGTCACAGAAGGATCTCTCCCAGCCCTCCGTCCGAGCCTTCTGCCATGCCTGGAGACAGACAGTATCTGACAATAGCTAGATGTACACTATATATGACACTTGCATACACAGCAGCAGTTTCTGACAAATAACTAAACTGATCAGCTCTGAAAATACAAAACCACCTCGCATCACACACATATATTGCAAGGGTTTCCATTGCCAGTCACTATGTCAAGAGCATTCCGTATCCCACAGGCAATCTGAACAAAGCAAAAACACAGGAGTCTACAAAAGTATCTGATGTGACAGTTTTGTATAAACCTGCTGCAAGACAAATTCCCTATGTGACTAAACTTAGTTGCTGACTAGATGTATGACACAACCAGTGTTCAAAATAGCCACTGGCCCGCTAGCCCGTGGCTAGTAAAAATCCAGTTGGGCCAGTAAATCTTCACAGTCACTAGCCCGACTGGCTACTGAAGTTTCAAGGGGTCATTTTGTAAATACATGTATATCACTCTCTCCGAGTTGTTAAGTTATAATACACTTTTAAATCATGCAAGATTATGGCCTGATAAAAATGTTCATCATATTAACAGCTAACTGATGAAACCCGTGTCTACATTCAAATTTCGGGCCAGTGATTAATTTTGTGGGCTAGTAACTTTCAGGCATAGCTAGCCCATCTGACTTGCAAAATTTGGAAACTATTTGGCACACTGGACACAACAATACCTGGAAAGCTCGTAGGAGGGCCATGTGATCACTGAATGTTCCTGAAGCAAACTTTCTTCGTGCCATAGCTGCAGATCTCTTCTGGTGAGGCTGCGACGGGAGAGTGACTGCAACAAAGATGCACAGCATGAAATGGAAGGAGGATCTTGAGCATATACAATGCCATATTTTGTTCAAAGCCAGCCGTCAGTGAGTCCATAATCAAGATTGACAACACACTGGACCTTGAGTTCCAACTTTGTCTAAAGGTAACCAAGTGTTTCATTAACAACACACTAGGTTTATCACTCTAATTAACAAAATAGTTTAGTTTGCTAAATACTTGTTGTCAGTGATCACTTTCAGTAGTAATTTAAGGCAAACTGCATTATGGAAACATAAGATGAGCTATCCTCCAAAGAGTGGTCGAGATGTTGTTGGTACAGTTTGAGAAACCATGTATCTGTGTAATGAAACTTGAACAGGCAGAACACCTGTTGTTTGAGTATCTCATGGCAAGTTGTCCAAAGGTTACTTCATTAATGCAGGAAAAAGGCCCAAGTGATGGTAATGACAAGTGACTGATCAGTACTGAAGCGAATCTAGGTTACAAAATCCAAAATGAATGATAGCAGCTGGAATGTGTGTTGTCCTGGACAACTGCGACCCTGATCCCCCTGTAAACCTATTGAGTACTCACATGGATCCTTGTAAGCCAGAGCACAGACAATGGTGAGGATGGGGTCAAGACATTTAAGCACCACTGAGTACAGAACCATCTTGCCCAGCCGGGGCTCCACGGGGAGGTCAGTCAGATGATGGCCCAGCTCGGTCAGATCCTCCCACGTGTCCAGAGCATCCATTTGCTGAAACCAAATGTAAAGTAATGACAGCATTTTACAGGAACCTGGTTAGCCAAACATCTACATTTCTGATGGGATATTTACTGAAGTACTGAGCCAATAATATCATAGAAATTCCTTTGATATATATTAAATTAACATACAACCATTCAACAACACTAAAGTAATCTCAAGTCCAGCAATTCTATGAAAAAGTATTGGACATATGACCGCTAGTGTCAAAACCTAATTGCAAAATGTGTACATAATTCCTCGTTATTCAATTTAAAATGACTACATATCATATTTTGGACTGGGCCTGAAAATGTATGCACATACAATCCTGGGCTGTTAGAAGTACACTCACCTTCAGGAGTTGGACTGCATTCCTAGTGACCAGAAAAGATGGCGGTTCGGGACACTTGGCAAGGAAGTCAGCGATGCTCATGTTGACAGGGGCCAACAGCTTGGTGTTGAGGCACAGCTCCTAGAAGTGAATCATCATACTAGCACCACAGAAATACAGCAGGCTGGGGAAACTTGTGAAAAGCACAACATAGTATAACCAATGTTGACAAAAACGGATAAAAAGTTGACTTGGAAGAATCTTTTTATCTGTATATCAAGCAGTTTCAGACAGAACAGAATAGGTACATTCATATTAATATTTTAGTGTCAGGTTACAAATTAGTTTCAGTTCAGCTGCCTTTAACAAAGACTACCTGAAGAGGATATCTGAGGATTTCTGGTTGCTGGTACTCTTGCATACTGCTGTAGCGAATACGGCTGAACATGTGATAGCAGACCCCGGGCCGACATCGACCAGCTCTGTAATAAAACAAACAGATAATGCACTTCTCACACCAAACTTTCAAAAAGTCTGAAAGATGGTTTCCACAACTGATAGAAGGCTATTATCTCTTACAAGGTATCATAATTCAATCAATAGTAATAAGAACCCTTTGGGGGATTCCTGCACAGAAAGGACCTTAGTTCCCAATGCTAACCAAAGAGCTGACTTATAAGCACAGGAGGGTCAGACTTTAGGACCAAACTGCTTTCTTGTCATGATAGTTGCTCGTGCTTTCCACCATTGGTTTGTGAAGTTCAGATTCAATTTCATTCATGAAGCATTGGGCTATTTCTGGAATATTGTTGACTGAGGCAAACAAAAAACATTCACTCACACATGCTGATATCAATATACACAGGTGAGGATATCTTACCTCCCTTTCCTCTGCAAACAACTGGCCTTGGACACCCAGTTGCTCTTAAGCATAGAGCATGAAGACAGAGCGTCAAATGATTTCTGAAGATAAACAAAGTACCATTAATATATGCTCAACATGCTCAAAGCATAAAAGTATATAATCTGAGGGAGAACATACATTGACTGGTTCATTTGAATGAGTGAATGAGTGAGTGAGTGAGTGAGTGATGGTTTTACGCCGCTTTTAGCAATATTCCAGCAATATCACGGCGGGGGACACCAGAAGTAGGCTTCACACATTATACCCATGTGGGCAATAGAACCCAGGTCTTCTGCATGATGAGTGAACGCTTTAACCACTAGACTACCCCATTGCACCTCATTTGAATGAGTTCTGAAACACTTGCCTTACTCCTGTCCTTCACCATTTAATGTTCAGTCTTGCAGCTCTAAGATTTCAAACATATGCCATAAATGACAAAATACTTTACCTCTTTCACCTTTCCTGAATCGATGACAAAGACGACATCATTAACTGTGACACTTGTCTCAGCAATGTTGGTGGATAGTATCTGAGGATAGATGTTTACATATTAAACCACAGTTAACAGGTTCATTATTGCAGAATTTATATGAAACAATGCAAACAAAAGTAATTTGTGAAGCACAACAAGTTTAGACATTTTGTGGCTACTACTCTGACACATCAATAAAGATGAGTGGGTAAGTATGGTTTACGCTGCTTTAGCAACATTCCAGCAATATCACGGCAAGGGACACCAGAAATGGGCTTCACACATTGTACCGAGGTGGGGAATTTAACTAGGGTGTTTGGGGTGACGATCCAACACTATAACCACTAGGCTACCCCACCAGCCCTCAATAAAGATGCTCTAATTATGTAATCAGTATGTTTATAAATAAGTTGTCCTACAGTTACCACACCTTTGACGATATCCATGTCTTGGAATCAGCAGGATCAGATATAACTGTGAAATAAATAGGTAACAGATGAATCTACACACACATAGGGTTGTAATGCTAAAAACTGCCATCAAGGTATAAACTGTCACTGACGGAGTCTCAGCACTCCTTTCATATAGTGCTAAGACCCCGTCAGTGACAGTGTACACACAGATTCAAGCATCACTCACAATTTTGCGTACGCCCTGCGGTGCCATCTTAAAGACCTTCCTCTGATCGTTGGACTGTATGGATGAGTGGAGTGTATACAGCACATACCTGGTGATGGAAGACAACTACATACAGTAGGTAGCATGCCATATCTGGATACACATGTGACAATCACTGGGAGCTCATTTGTACAATAACAATCTCTTACACAAACCTTGTTACATTAAAGTACAATTTTGTATTACAAATTATATAAACCTTCAAATTACACATAGTAAAACTAAACCATTTTACATATTACTGAGCATAATACACATTATTCAAATAGATATTATTAGGTTGAAGTTAGTATATTACCTAAAACTTTCAAATTTCTTGTCTTCAGCTATGATATCCCTGAGAGTGACAATATCATCATATCCAGGTAGGAAGACTAGTATAGCACCTGGAAGTTATAAATAATCAGCATGAAAATACACTAAGACTGAACCTAAAAAATAGACACAATACTTACAAAAACAGACCCCAAGTATTGTCTCAGAAGAGCTTACACAATTCATTGAATTTGATCTTTGAAATATTATTTAAAAAGTGCCTAAGACAGTCCCTTTTGTTGCAATGTAGTAAGTAAAACCCAGAAAGGTTTCAGCTGAATCCATTTGTTTTGTGGGATGAAGGGCTAAACCTACAACTCTGACTAACTACAGGCAACAGAAAACGTACCATCACATCAGCTGAGCATAATCTTTTTTGAACATTCAGATGGTGGAGCTATAAGTTGACAATCAAATTTCTGATCCTTGTCATATACTTTCCACTTACGTAAGACCAAATAATTTACTTGTTTTATTGAAACTGCGATCAAATATTTATCCAAATTGCATTCCTATAAAAAATGAGGGTAGAATAATCAAATTCATTGCTATTATTGACATAAAAACCTCATGGATATTGGTTTATTCTCAACAAACAGCCAGTAGATTACCGGTTATGTAAGGTGAGGTCAACATAATGGGAAAAACATTGTGGACTAAAAGGATGAAAATCAAGGTGTTTTCGCTTGTTTTCAGACAGGCAAATTAATGTATCAATTGAGAAATGTTCTGCAACCTTTCTAAACACCACTACTGATATACTTGCCTTCCTTCTTTGATGACATTATAGCGTATATAAGTGCAGAGATGAGGTCCGTGTCAACTTTCTCATCATCAAAGCTGTGGTGGTAGACATTGAGGATTTCACGGTCTTCAGCCGAGACAACTGCATCTTCCTTCCCATCCTCACTGGCACTCCCACACTCAATGGAGGCACTTGAACATAACAGGAGGGCAAGTCACACATAGGCTAGCATCAAACATGGCATGGTAGGGGAAATATGACATGCCATGTTGGCATCAGTTTTAACATCAATTATTCATTGACTGTGATTATATTTCCATCAACAATCTCATGATTGCCATTCATACTATTAGTCCGAATCAAGGTCAATTGCCCTTTGCTGAAAGAGTATCCTTAACAAGGATTTCTTCAACCAAGCTAATAAAGTTTTTAACTTTTCAACTGTAACTTACACATATGCCTCAAGCATTTCAACAATGTCATTTCTATTGAATTTCTTGGCCCAATCAAGGGCTGTCCATTCATTTGATGCTCTGACATTGATGTTGGCGCCAAGGTTAAGGAGTTGCTCCACAGTCACAGACAAGCCCCGCCCTGCTGCTATCATCAGGGGAGTTGCACTCGTCTCACTGTGCTTGTAGTCCACTATAAGAAAGGTGAACAATCATGTAACAACATCAAATGTATCATCCATAGTTAGAAACAATGTAAAAATCCTTACAAAGGTAAACAAACTCTAAAACAACAAAGATCATACTGTCATAGGATATGTCATTTGTTATTCTAAATATTTATAAATCATGTGTTATGAGAGTGTGTTTTTGTCATTTGTAATTTGTAATATTACATTGATTAAGTGATAATTATTATGGGTCACAATGTTTAAAGTTTTGAGTGTGGGTTTTGGCTCGCACCTCGCATCATTTATGTTCAATGGCAATAGTGTTTTTAGCGGTATGCCTTTTTTATAGCACTTCAGAGTTGCCTCCCTTGGCTGGCTTTATTTTGTTCTGACTTCCGGTCGTATGTTCGAGAAAATCCTTCATCGTTCTGAGAGAATAATGAGGGAGCCTAGCTTTGCTAGAATGCTCGAGAACTGTGTAAGAGCTATAACAAGGCTGGTTGTTGCGTTGTGTGACGGGACTTTTCACATGACTGGATTTATGTGCATCTGTCTGCCACTGTCAAGTTGATCAACATTCAAGACTGCCCGTGCTTGCCTATTCGTCTACTGTCATTGTAAACAACCTTCAATCAGTATAACTGTTCTCACTGTAAATGTCAAGACTCTGGTGAGTTAATATTCTATATTTGTGGCCCAACATTTTAGATTTGTGACTCAATTGCATTGTACTAGATATCTGTATTGTAATTCCTTGTAGCTTGCTCATTGTTTGCTCAATATATTATTGAATATTTTAGACTTGTCTGTGTTCTATTTTGCTGGTACAAAGGGGACTTTTAAACCTTTGTCACGGATAATTATTAACCATAACACATGTTATCACCAACTGTAGACGAAAAAGTATCTTTATAAAGGTGAAGACCTGACAGACTCACCACTGACATTCTCTGCCATTATGAGATGGAAGATTTGTGAGAAGACCTCTTCCTCCCCTGACAACCACACCTCACTCAGCAGCTTGTCCATCTCCTTCACAACCCATGGCTCAAGGTCCTCCTGCTCCTCCCCCAGCTGTCAACAGTAGGATACACTCTATAGCAACAACCCTCTCCTCCCCAGCTGTCAACAGTAGGATACACTCTATAGCAACAACCCTCTCCCCTCCCAGCTGTCAACAGTAGGATACACTCTATAGCAACAACCTCTCCTCCCCAGCTGTCAACAGTAGGATACACTCTATAGCAACAACCTTCTCCTCCCCAGCTGTCAACAGTAGGATACACTCTATAGCAACAAGGATACCTCTCAACAACCCTCCCAGCTGTCAACAGTAGGATACACTCTCCTAGCAACAACCTACACTCCCCTCTCCCAGCTGTCAACAGTAGGATACACTCTATAGCAACAACCTTCTCCTCCCCAGCTGTCAACAGTAGGATACACTCTATAGCAACAACCCTCTCCTCCCCAGCTGTCAACAGTAGGATATACACTCTATAGCAACAACCCTCTCTCCCCAGCTGTCAACAGTAGGATACACTCTATAGCAACAACCCTCTCCTCCCCAGCTGTCAACAGTAGGATACACTCTATAGCAACAACCTTCTCCTCCCCAGCTGTCAACAGTAGGATACACTCTATAGCAACAACCTTCTCCTCCCCAGCTGTCAACAGTAGGATACACTCTATAGCAACAACCTTCTCCTCCCCAGCTGTCAACAGTAGGATACACTCTATAGCAACAACCCTCTCCTCCCCCAGCTGTCAACAGTAGGATACACTCTATAGGATACCAGCTGTCAACAGTAGGATATAGCAACAAACCTATCCTCCTCCCCAGCTGTCAACAGTAGGATACACTCTATAGCAACAACCCTCTCCTCCCCAGCTGTCAACAGTAGGATACACTTCTATAGCAACAACCTCTCTCCTCCCCAGCTGTCAACAGTAGGATACACTCTATAGCAACAACCTTCTCCCTCCCCACTGTCAACAGTAGGATACACTCTATAGCAACAACCTTCTCCTCCCCAGCTGTCAACAGTAGGATTTATACAACAACCTTATAGCAACAACCTTCTCCTCCCCAGCTGTCAACAGTAGGATACACTCTATAGCAACAACCCTCTCTCTGTCAACAGTAGGATACACTCTATAGCTGTCAACAGTAGTCAACAGTAGGATACTCTCTATAGCAACAACCCTCTCCTCCCCAGCTGTCAACAGTAGGATACACTCTATAGCAACAACCTTCTCCTCCCCAGCTGTCAACAGTAGGATACACTCTATAGCAACAACCCTCTCCTCCCCAGCTGTCAACAGTAGGATACACTCTATAGCAACAACCCTCTCCTCCCCAGCTGTCAACAGTAGGATACACTCTATAGCAACAACCCTCTCCTCCCCAGCTGTCAACAGTAGGATACACTCTATAGCAACAACCCTCTCCTCCCCAGCTGTCAACAGTAGGATACACTCTATAGCAACAACCCTCTCCTCCCCCAGCTGTCAACAGTAGGATACACTCTATAGCAACAACCCTCTCCTCCCCAGCTGTCAACAGTAGGATACACTCTATAGCAACAACCCTCTCCTCCCCAGCTGTCAACAGTAGGATACACTCTATAGCAACAACCCTCTCCTCCCCAGCTGTCAACAGTAGGATACGATTCTGTCAGCTGTGAAGTCTTCGTCCATGCTGGCACGGCGTCCTTCGGAAGAGACTCCCTGGGTGCACCACTCATCCAGGTGCTCCTGCTGACTCTTCACTGTGTGTACATAGTAGCTCATCATATATCTAAATGGCACACTCAAACTCATTTCACACCAACTTTACTTTGTTGTGACACGATAATTCTTCTCAAGGTGGTTTGTTCCTGTGATGTTGATATGTTACATGCATTAAATTCACGGACCAAAACATATTAATGATAATTTATCCTATGTTATTAGAACGCTTTTATCCCTGTATACCACCCAGATAGAGTTAAGGGACATCCAATGTTTTCCTGTGACTGTAGCTTACTTGTCATGGCCATATGCTACACATTAAACAAACATGAGAGTGAGGTCGTTCATGTTAAAGTGACAAACTATCTTCATGTCATGTTTCTATTTCGATGTGTTCCTGGGTATAATTTCCTGAAGAACCTCAGTGAAGGAGTCTGAACACACCTTTACTTAGCTCTCTTCTGTATTTCTCCATCTTCTTGTTACTGTAGCCAGTCCTGAAAGCAGCAATGCCACCATGGTGTGCAGCTATTTACATAATCACAGCATGGCAGGTTTTACTGAACATTCAATACCAGTAAACTTTATTTGGATCTGATGACAATAAAGTCAACAGTCATATTCTGAAGCACTCACTCCTTACATGTGAACTCAAGACAGTGGTGAGACAGACACGACGGTCTGCTTGGTATGACATCATGATGCAATGAACTAACTTGCCAAGTAAGCTGAATGTGGGGAAAAACACACCTGGATGGAAGTTGTAATAACTATTGACCAAATTAACCTGGTATCCATATAATCCAGCAGAATGACATGTCTTTCAACTTTGAGATTGAGGGAACAAATAATCATCAAAAAAGTATTCATGCGCATTAAAGAGTACAGGAAACGTTTGGGCTCTGAATTTTGTTAAATTACATATTTCAACAAATCAGACTTCAGTACACACTCCAATTTATTTAACAATATTCAAAAAATGTTTTCAAGCCAACATTTGTTTGTGATCCAATGACGCACCTCAACATTGCACAATATTTATAAAGGCCTTACCATTTGAGAACATCTTCCAGAAAGTGTTCTTCCACAGGAAACAGAGTGCCTGGGACTGAAAGGGAACAAACAGCAAAGTTCACGCATTATATGTTACAAGTGACAATAAGACAGGCCCTGTTCAATATAACCTGTGAGAGGAAAGAAAAGTTTTCCTTTCAGCTCCAGATACCTCTGATGAATGCATTAGCCATCTTTACAACATGGTCATAAATAACTCACTACAGTCCAGTCTCGTTAATCCGACTCCCGTTTATCCGACAATCGGCTTTATCCGACACTTTTGTTGGTAAACGTAATTTAGTCTTGTTAATCCGACAGTACCTCGTTCAGACTTTGACAGCCCTAATTACAACCGACTGTCGTAATCACTTAGTAATTAGTCCCGTTAATCCGACATTGAGATTAGCAACACGTGTGATCAATTACCCGAGAATACACTGCCACATGTCAATGAAGATGTTATGATACACGATTATGAACACAAATTCTGCCATCTGACGAACATCATATAACTGCCGTAAAACAGGAAGTCAAGTCTATTTATAGCTTGCCGAGGGTGCAGCCGTTCGGTCGTTTTAATTGATTTCGTAAATGTTTAATGAAAAAAGGAATTGGTTTTGAAAATAATGAATACTCCTCAAGAATATTAACACGTGATTGAAACAAGCAGTTTGATTGTCTGACAAGACTGTCAACAAAATGCCTGCTTCCCGCACGTGTTCGCTTCAAGAAAGTATTTATACAAACCTGTGGAGGTTATGAATTCTTTGAAGAAAGTCCTCCTTGGGGTACATATAAGCATTAAAATGTCCATTTTAAAACCTACGACAGTTGTAACTATATTTTAATAAAAATATTTACAAAACAAAAAACACGTTTTTGTCTTGTGAGACCACCCCTACAGGACCCCCAAGGGGCCCCCTACCGGCAAGAGCAGGTAACTCTAGCCGACAACCTCGCAACTCACTTTTCATGCTGAACGTAATCAGACAGAATGAGGGGAGGCGTAGGGCCATACCCCAAAGAGGACTTTCTTCAAAGAATTCATAACCTCTACAGGTTTGTATAATTCTTTTTCAGAAGAAGTCCTTTAGGGTACATATAAGCATAAAACAGACTCCCAAAGACAATAAAACAGGGAGTGGTATTTTGTCTGACACATTGATCCAATCAAAGTAACGATCTACAACCTTACGGAAATAGAGAATTACACTTACCTTGTCATGTGACCGCCGATGTCAATCAAGGTGGGGGTGGCTAGGGCGAGGACCCGGGATGTCAAAGCTTATATGCCCATTGGCATATCGGTGACACACCCACCATGATAAACTCCACCTCCCAACCTGATAGGTGGAAGTGAGTGAATACAGGGGACTCGCCAAAACAAACTACTGTCCATAGTACACAGCTAGCCAAGCGTGGAAAAATGGAAAGTATAAGTAAGGCACCGATATACCAGAGTAGAACGGGGATAAGAACCACCACCATATACCATCACCAATAAAATGGGGGAGGAATAGAATGCTGACACCAAGTGTAAAACAGTACATCATCAACAAGGCTCACTCGGCTTGAGAGGTGCTACTCTGTCCACTGTGGAGAACCGTTTGGCCAAACTGAGCACGCTCACACGAGTGTTTGTCCAACTGATAGTGACGGATGAACGTACTCGGTCGGCTCCAAATAGCCGCGGAGCAGATCTCCTCAATGGGCAGAGCAGCAGCATATGCCTTAGACGTGGCTACAGCTCGAACAATGCCTCGAACCCTGAATGGGCTCTACCTGATGTGACTGCCAACAAAAGATGACATAGCATGTTGTCAACGACCCGCCTAGTTGGACCGACAAATCTGACATATCGTAAAAGAGATGGCTGGAGAGCCAGTCGAAGACGATGGACAAATCCCATGGGGGACTTATTCGTCAGCCGGCCGGACGTGCTCTCTGTCCACACCTGCTAAGAAACGCTGGACCAGAGGGTGTTGCCCTGAAAGAGAACCCTCGGCAGGAATGTGGAAGGCTGAAATAGCCGTTGAGTAGCCTCGGATGGTAGACGCGGCTAGGCCGGCCTCTAACCGAGACTGTAAAAACTCCAACACCTCAACTACAGTCGAAGAAAAGGGATCAAGTATCCCTCTGTTTCCACATCAGCGCAAATAACAGGCCCATCAATCCTCGTACTGTACGTTAGTCGAATCCCTCCGCCAAGCCAGAATTGTTGTGTCTGCAACTAGTGCAGGAATTCCGCTTGGAAGGCTGACTGGACAGTGCTGAAGCCACCCACTGGATCCTGGGATCTGGGTGTGGCTGGCCGTTCTGAGATAGAAGGTCCAGCCGCATTGGTAATAGTACAGGTGGCTGTACGAGCAACCTGAGTATTACCGGAAACCAGCGCTGAGACGACCACAGAGGTGCAAGAAGCTCAAGTAGTCGCGCTGGTTGGGTGGCTAGCTGCGATAGGACCCTGGAGATCAGGGGTATCAGTAGGAAAGCCCACAGAACCCTGTCCGTCCAATCGAGCTGGAAGGCATCGGAAGTGATCGCCCCTCGATCTGGGATCCGAGCAAAACACCGAGTCTGGTTTGTCACCCCAGAGGCAAACAGATCCACCTGGAACGACGCAAACAACTGGGAGATAATCCCCTCCGGTCGAAAGTAACCACTCGTGAGGGGCCAGGATACGACGTGAGAGCGCGTCTGCACGAACGTTGTCCTCCCACGGGAGATAAACAGGCATAACCCGTACGCTGAACTGATCGCACTACAGTAGAAACTGCCATGCCTCCTGAAGGAGTGACGGAGACACCGCACCGCCCTGCTTCAGGATGTAGGACATCGCCATTTGATTGTCCATTTCTAGACGAACCACACGGCTCCAAACCTGCTCAACGAAGCGTTCGAACACCAACAGGACCGCTCTCAATTCTAACACATTGATGTGCAGGGTAAAATATAGTTACAACTGTCGTAGGTTTTAAAATGGACATTTTAATGCTTATATGTACCCCAAGGAGGACTTCTTCTGAAAAAGAATTTGTATTTGCGAAAGGCTCATTTCTCATCAAATTCACGAAAAAGGTTGGAAACAGATAGATCTACTGATACTTGTTACATCTACCCTTAGATCTATTGGCGTTCTGTTCTGATTTCTGCATCGAAGTCGACATGTTGATCTGGATTTCTACTTTCTCAGTTTTCACACACACAAATATCTTGACGTACGTATTGTTTCGTTGTAAAACGTGTGATCTAAAGTCGTTAATCGATTATGGTTTAGGAGGTTGATTCCCAACAGTAATTACACACACACACACACTTAACATGAATCATGATTGTCCTGATTTTGACCATGAACATGATCTGTACTCAGAATTCAATAATCCGACATCCTCGTTAATCCAACAATTTGCTGTGCAACGGACGAGGTCGGATTAACGAGATGTGACTGTACTATCTGTGGGTTTTGAGAAGGTTAAATATAAAAATTAAACAGAAATTTCAAAATGTAAACATTACTCAAAAAGCAAACTTTGAAGCAACAAGTAATGGAGTTGGGAAACTCTGGGTTATTGGTTCAGCTGCACACACTGACCATAAGCTACAGGGCAGCCACTGAAGTACTTGATGAACATCTCGGTGTTGAGGGCGGCACTCATAAGAATGAGGCGCAGGTTCTTGTACTTGTGAAGCAGGTCTTTCACAACTGCGAGCAGGAAGTCACTGATCCGATCCCGCTCATGAACCTCATCCTGAAGGAATAATCAACTAGATCATCATGCCTTGAAAATTGGCACCTTTAATGGAATTAGCAACAGACTGACTGAATTTAAACAAACTGTCTGGTCCAACTGATAAGTACGGAAGGACATTGTACCATAAAAAAGAGCCATAATATGTGTATAATAATGATGAGACATTGTATGTGCATAATTAGTGTATCATGATAACAAGATTAATGTACAAAAGGAAAGTTGAGTTACACTTTTTTATTTCAGTTGTAAATGAAATAATAATAGTAAAGACATTTATTTATTTATTTATTTATTTATTTATTTATTTATTTATTTATTTATTTATTTAATCATTCATTCATTCTGAAACATGAAGAAAGGACTGTAAGGTTCAACATCATAAACATATGGTATCTCTCTATAGTATGAGAGTTTATACATCTGTTCTATGTTAAAAACTCTGATGTAAAGATATGGGATGGATGTTGACTCACAACAATGATGTGGGTGAGAGTGCCCAGGGCATTATCCCCTCCCATCAGTGTCCTCAGCAACACGCCATTGGTGCAGAATGTCAGCAAAGTCTTCGGCGATACTCTGACACAGTAAGATTTGTAACATGACACATAAGCTCATATGGGGGACAAACAACATAAAGTTGCAGTTTCATTACTTTGTAGCACCAGTTGAAAATATCACATACTCTGTAATGACTTGAATGTTTAAACCACTGTATACATAATGACTGTAATTATCTCCGAGTAATTATCAAATTCTCAAGGCTCTGTACTCCACTCACTTGCTCTCTAATCGTATCTGGTAGCCCACTGTCTGGCCAATCCTCTCTCCTCTCTCCTGTGCGACACGTTCAGCTATACTGAGAGCTGCAATCCTGCGTGGCTGGGTGCAGAATATTCTACATGGCTTGTTGTTCTTGTTACAGTCGTCTAAAATCATCTGAGGTACCTGTCAACAAAAGTCGGATCCCTCAGGGTAAATGACATTGTTTGAAGCAGGGTATAAACAGATTAATGTTGAACTATTTATAATAAAGGGAAACTGATCAGCCTATGTATAATGAAGGGAAACTGATCAGCCTATGTATACAGATTTTGGTTGATTTTGTAAAGATAAAGAAAGGAGAGACTATGAATGAATACAGGAAGCTTTAGCAAACAGTGGTGATGTTGTGATAATCATGTCAATCATAGCCATTATGTCCATATTTATATGAGGACAAGTTTTGTTTATGTCAGCCTATCATTTGCAATCATATCATGCCACAAGTACAAAGCAGAGAATTGAAAACACATGCAAACTACAGACGCGATAGGATCAAGACATATCTAACCTGAGTTGTTTTGCCCGAGCCTGTTTCTCCTGCCACCAGCAAGACTTGGTTGTGATTTGTGGCGTATATGATATCTTCTTTCAGCTGCTGAATTGGTAAGCCTTCCCTGAACACGTCAAGGTCAGTTTCATTTCGGGAGGGTGGAACCTGGGGGACGCCATTGTTCAATCGACCTGTTGTCATCTTACTGAATTCCCTTGTAACTGTCATGGAAGATAATTTCACCCGTCATGAAAACCCCAGGACATATACAGAGGTATTCGTCTTCAATACATACTAGCATTCTGCCAGTGTGTTTTTTGTGTGGATTTTTTGTAAAATGTGTAACCACTTGATGTTAAAGAATTGAATTCATTATAGTCTGTTCCAAAACAGTTTAAGGCTACTTGTGGTGGTTTGGGCTGACTTGTTACAGGTACATTCACAAACCCATTTTGTGGTGTCTATAAGCCCCTTTCACATGGACACAATTACTTATGTGAGTAAACATACTTGTGTAATTTAGTGTTGGGAATTGGTTGAAACCTCACAATTGATGATTGCTTCATTACCAACGAACAATCATCGAATAAAATTGGTTAGCGTCATTTTTCAGATTCTCCTATCCAGGTTGTTATTGTAGATATGTATAACTTGATGCAACTTGCTACTTTAAAGTGATGACTAATATATCATGAAAATAAACTTCCTGGAGTCTTCAAGAAATATTTAGTCATGACTTTTGAGTTAGTGAAGTGAGTTTTCTAAGAATTAAACAAGTTTTCAGGCCCTGACAACTTCGAAGATATGTTCCATCATCAAGTGTTTCAAAGACTAAAACAGCAGTTCCAAAATCGTTTGTGTTCGATTATGAGAAAATGTGATCGATTGCTTGGTCGTTTGGTCACTTCCGACCAATCTTCGATTATTTTGACTAATCGGAACACCACTAATGTAAGTACATTTACTTAGGGTGGCATGTGAACGCATTTGCTTACAGGAGTAAATTTACTCCTGGAGTAAACATTCCGAAGTAAAAGTATATTTACTTATAAGTATAAATACTCCCGGAGTATTTGTGGTCATGTGAATAGAATTTATGTTTGCTTAGGTGAGTATTTCACCACATATGTAGGCATCTTAAGAGATGACTGATGCCTCCCAAGAAGAAACCTGTTGTTACAAGGGCCACACGTTGACTTTCATGGAATGATGAAGAGACTGACTATCACTTGTCTATTTGGAATGAAAAAATATGTTGAGGGACAACTTGAAGATCCAAAAAAGATTAAACGATCAGTGATGTCAGATGAGACGAAGATCCAAGGGTATGAAAAGAGTAGCACCCAGCGCAAAATACGTATGTACACACTCTAACGAAATTTCTGGGATTGTAAAAAAGAACATGAAAACAAGTTGCAAGAGTCGAAAACTGTGCAAGTTTTATGATAAGCTGAATGAGATTGTGGGCCAAACACCAACATCACCTGTGAAGATGATAGAAAGTATGGACCAGAGACAGCATCTTGCCACACAGGTGATGTCAGATGACAGTTATAACACAGCTGAGATGGAGGGTGATGGACATAATGATGATTTAGAAGAAAGGGATAGTAGCGAACATCTCGATGCGATTGATAGCAATGACGATAAGGATGATCAAGCCAAAGATGATGATGATAGGGATGAAACAAAGGAAGATGAGCATGCAAACAAAAAAGACACAGAGAGGAAAGAAGAGGAGTCAGATGACCAAGTCCACGAAAAAAGAACAGAAAATAAAGAAAACAAGACTGAAGACTGATTTGGAAAGTATAATGAAAGAGCACTCGGAAAGTAACACAAAATTTGAAAATGCTATGATGTCATTAGAACAAGAAAATTGATGCAGAAATGAAGAAGATGGAACTGGTGAAGATAAAACTAGAAATGAAAGAAAGACAAAAACGCGAGGAACATCACCAGTTCCGTATGATGCAAATCATCCTTGATCGAATGAACACTAGTCAACCAATGAATCTCGGTCATCAACCGCCATCCATGCCTGGAACTTCCTGGAATCAACCAAGTCAGCCATACCAATCGTATCGTACACCAGATGGCCGATCATCTACTGAACAATCAGATGTCTCTTTTGATGATTCAGAAAATTCATTCTATCAACTTGAAATCCCTTCAACCTGTTTTGTACACATGTTTACTTCCATCTAACACAGGGTACAAAGAGACACTCAGTAGAGACATTTATCACCAATGTTTATGTTTAGTCACTTCCACTGTGGAAGTCGCGGTGGCCGAGCGGGTTAGGCGGCTGACTTTGTGTGCTGGCGATTTGGTGCCTAACTCTGAGGGTGTGGGTTCTGAATCCCGGATGGGACTCAACCCAAAAAGAGTACTAGAATTTGTACTTTACTAAGAAAGTGTAATCCCAAATATAACTATGTTGCATCATCATCGTTTACAGCCCAAATGTAGTTTTCCTGCCTCATTTCACACAAGTTATGCAAAATGACACAAGCAGTGATGATAGTGCTAACAAACCCAATATCCACATCTAAACGCTTCATTAAGCACCTCCAGCGTCCTTTCAAGTGCCCAAAGGTATTCTCTATAGTCATCCGTGCACAATCAACCTATAGTTGTATTCCTTTTGCACCTCTGATAGTTTCGCAATGTGTGTATGTATATGGCTTTGAAAGCCATTGTTTCAAAGGGTAGGCTGCACCAGCCACAATCACGATTGGCATTAGCACTTGTCTGTCGCGTAGTAGCAGCTGCTTTGTCCACTTTGGAAACAGGTCACTTGTCTCCCCCTTGTAGTACAGCTCTGAGTTGCCAAAACCCTGGCATCATGCACTTTGCCAGGCCAGCCAACATTGATGTTCGTTATGATGTACCGATGGTCACACACTGCCTGCAGAAGAATGGAGTACCATCCAGGTAATCACCATGTGCCAAGGATGGTGCGATGATTGGGATCATTGGCACAGTTAGGGAAATCCCACGTCTCTTCAAAGCCTGAATCACATGTCTCAATTCATTTCCTTCTGGGAACTTTACATATTTTGTTAACAATCATTTGGATATCGTCTTGTAGACGCCATGTGTGAACTGTGGAAACACCTACCCCAAAGAGGTTAGCAATGGTTCTATACTCTGCAGAGGAAGCAAGCCAGTAGACTGCAGTGCCCACCTTATGGTCCAGTCCCAGAGGTTCCCTTACATAAACATCCATTGCGGGAAAACATGGCTGTAGTTCATTGCAAAGAACATAAAATGTCTCTCTAGTCATGCAAAAATTCTCTATCCTCCGTTTTTGCATGAGCAGCTTACTCAACGACATTGTCTCAAATGATGAAAATTCAGTTATTCTAATCATGAGATTATGTTTACTTATACCTGGCGAAAACAACATGTGAACATGATGTAAATTAACTTTTACTTATGTGAGTATATTTACTAGTGTAAGTAAATTGCTTATGTAAGTAAATTGTGTCCATGTGAAAGAGGCTTATGATAGTAGGTACCATACTTCCTTGGGCTGCACCATGAGAGACTTGATGCCTACTAGATTGTCACAGCTATTAACAAAAAGACACAACTGATATACCCTGGTTCAAATTAGTATACCTTCACCAAGAGGTGACTTTTGTGTCTTTGGTTGGAGATCCTGCCGCTCCTTGTTGGAGAGGGGGAACCTCTGTAGCAGACTGACTGCCTGCTGTCTGGAGTTGCGGGACAGTTGGAAGCCAGAAGCAGAGCTCACTGCTTGATTAGAATCCTTCTTGTATATTGTCAGGAAGCGATTGGCTGCTTTCCTAATGACACAAAAGACACATTGGAATAATCAGACTCACTAACCAGTCCTACTTTACATATTCACAGAATATATTATCAGAATGTACTTGACAACATAAACTATTTAAACATATTCAAATATGTTATATGTTAAAACATGCTTCAATGTTTTCAAATAACATGTGACTTTATTCTTTATGACCAGTTTGCAGACTGGGCCATGACAATTTGATGTACTTAAAACATTATTATGCATATTATGCTTATGCTTTCAAATCCTTTCAGTAGATCATAAACCATACACAGAGGCTGTCACATGCATGGCTCAGATCAGTTTTACACTGTATTCATGTGGCACACTGAACCAGAATCTAGAAAAACAAGAGTCATCAGAAGATGACATATCCCCCGGCCCCCACATCTTTGAAAGAACAAATCATCTGACAGTTACTTAAAGTCCAGCTTGATTTTAGACTAAGTGCAAATCGTTTCCATGGAAATCATGAAAAAAATAAATGACAAAAGTCTGCAAATAGCAAAAGGCACCACTTCAAGATCTGCCTCATATATCTGCCAAGTTTTACTTTTACACCACTTAAGGTTCTGATTGATATATCTACCAAGTCTTGTTGAAAAATATTGAACGGTTTTGGAGTTATGCTCCGGAAACGAAGCCCACCCCTCTTTAAGACTAAGTCCCAAACGCTTCCTTGGAAACCGAGAAAAATAAAAATGACAATAATCTGTAAATAGCAAAAGGCACCACCTTAGGTTATGTTTGACATATCTACCAATTTTTGCTGAAAAATATCCGGTGTTCGAGTTATGCTCCGGAAACAAAATGATTACGGACAGACAGACGGACCAGGCGACGACTATATCCCACCGCATTACATGCCGGTGGGATAATAAACCAAATGAACCCCTGTATTATAAAAACAAAGATGGATGCTGTGAACAGATGCTTACCCTCGACTCTTGGATTTCATGCCGAGATCGTCACACAGTCTGTGGATGTAGGCCCTCTCAGTTGCACTCAAGGAGGAGGGGAACTCCAGCTCTGATAGGATTGAGACATATCTACATGATATTTAGAGACAATTTAGGATTGCAGGGAGTATCAAATCTATGACAGACCATGACCAATATAACTGCAAAAGAAATTATCTATTGAGAAGTATTTGGTTTGCCGATTTGTCATTTTCAAACAGTGACCTTACTTTTTTAATGTTTTCAAATAAAGTGTTTCAGTCCACATATTGTTTGCAGCAAACGTGGCAAGATAATACTCAGCTATTTTATTTGGTTTCAAATTATATTTACTAATATACAAGAGTCATCAGAAGATGACATATCCCCCCGGCCCCAACAAATTTGAAAGAACAAATCACCTGACAGTTACTTAAAATCCAGCTTGACTTTTTTTTAAACTAAATCATGAGAAATATAAATGACAAAAATCTGTAAATAGCAAAAGGCACCACTTCAAGATCTGTCTCATATATCTGCCTAGTTTTGCTGAAAGATATTTAAAAGTTTTCGAATTGTGCTCTGGAAACAAAGCCCACCCCTCCCTTTTGGGACTAAAGAAAAAATAAATATGCCAAAAATCTGCAAATAGCAAAAGGCACCACTTAAAGTTCTGTTCGATATATCTACCAAGTTTTGTTGAAAAATATTGAATGGTTCTTGAGTTATGCTCCGGAAACGAAACCCATCCCTCCTTTTGGGGGACAAAGTCCTAATCGTTTCCATGAAAACCAGGAAAAATAAATATGCCAAAATTCTGCAAAATAGCAAAAGGCACCACTTAAGGTTCTATTTGATATATCTACCAAGTTTTGTTGAAAAATATTGAACAGTTCTTGAGTTATGCTCTGGAAACAAATATGCCGTGGGGATAAAAAAGGTTCAAATGACAAAAATAGCAAAATGCCCCCTGTGACCACAACCCACGGAGGGAGAAATAATGTTTGTTTGTTGTTGTTGGTGCGCTGGTGTTCTCCCATGGAGTTGTGTCGACTACGCCCTCATCGAGAGCTCCTGTTTGTACCAAAGTGTTTCAATGGTGAATGGCATTCTTGAACCTCAGTACAGAGCTGCGCTACTCTGCACCTTGATCGTACCCCAGCAGTCATCCGACTGAGCCACAGAGGACTTGAAAACCAAGTGCTCGGTTTAACGTGTCTATCCTGAGATTGCATCATCCTCTTAAACTGGGCTCCGTCTATAGTAGCGCAAAGAGAGTCTAGAACCAGTTTTTTATAAGTTCAGCTCCATATATACTAGCACAAATCAGTCAGTCAACTTCCGCTTCTTGCTTCGAAAATGTTGGGAGTCTTTTTGCCTTGAATAAAGGTCTCATAAATAACAAACACGATGCATATAGGTCGCTTTAACAACGCTGATCACGATAAAGGAGTCGATGGACGCTGAAAAACATTTTAGAAGCCACAATTTATTTTCAAAATTGGATTACATCATCCTCCTGAGCTATATTTAGTTTTCATGCAGGATGACAGTTAGAGCGAGCCTTGCTGGTGTCAAGGGAACGTGCGGGACTTCAGAGTAAGACTTTTAGTGTTCGAATCCCTCCCCAGACTCATTTTTTTTCACTCAACCTTGGAAAACAACAACTCTGAACTGTGACATTTCTGAACTGTGAAACTCATTTATTTCTCCCTTGTGGGGTTGCAACCGCAGCGGACATTTTGCTAAACCAGCTAGCTGTACATTACTATAGGAGCCTTAAATCTGTAGGGCACCATGAGTTTCTACAACCTCATGCTCACTCAAAAGTCAATATTTCAGAAACTATTACACCGATTTTCGTGAAATTTTGCATGCACATCCGCGAGTAGTATACACAATAGCGGAACAGGATTAGGGACTAAACAAAGGCTTAATTTGGAAAATTAAGTATACTACTCTATTGCATTCCCACTTTGTATTTTGTATTCTACATGTTAAAATGTGATTAGGAAAGTTAGATGTGTGTTGCATGAAAGAAAATAACAACAACCACTAAACAATAACATCTTGAAAATGTACTGCACTTAACCAGTTCCTACACATATTGTTACATCCCTAGAAACATCTCTGTTACTATGGTTACTGCTGACTGCATCCCTATGGACTCATGGCAAGACCTGAATGTCAATAAGAATGATTAACCAAGTGACGACATCAGCAGTACTCATTTATCAATGTGACATCTTAGGACTGAATGACATTGAAATCTTTTTCACCTTTTTGGTTTTCACTGAGTTTAAATCGTTCAACTGTCAAGTGTATGCCAATTCTGACTTCCTCGCCGATACATATCGGTTGGTTTGGACGAGGTCCCCGGGTTGACAGGCCCTGAACACTCTGCACACTACCAACGCTGCTGGGACGGGGGGAGGAGGTGTCCAGTCGCTGAAATGACCCCCTGAAAATAATGAAAGAACAACCAATGACATCTACAACTCAGATATGTTGGAATTTCAAACATTAGCATATCTACAACTTTCAGTTCATGAAACCTTGAGACACTTAAGATACATCAACAGATCAACCCACCAAAAAAATTGAGCTAACCCTGTAGAGGTTTCCAATTCTTTGAAGAGAGTCGTCCTTGGGGTACATATATGCATTTTCTGCAGCTGAAAATGTCATGTGACAGTTGTATCAATGTTTTAATAAAAATATTGTACAATAAATAAAAATATTTTTTATCTATTATATAGCCCCCACCACCTGGAGTTACCTCCCTGCTACACATGCACAGCCAACCAGGTAAGCACCTAGGCCCGTATCATCATTCCTTCTGCTGAATAAATCAGTGAACAGAAGTGCGGGGAGGTGGGTGGCCCTACCCCAAGGACGACTCTCTTCAAAGAATTGGAAACCTCTACAGGTTTAGCTAATTCTTTTTCATAGAGATCGTCCTATGGGGTACATATATGCATTAACTCAGACTCCCAAAGACCGGAGGCTAGGAGGAGGGAATTCAGTCAGAGTACAAATAAATAGCGATCGTTCTTGAGAAAGTAACTGACACCAGAACACTCACCTGTCACGCGTCCCGAAGCTTCCGCGAGAGGCATGATGGGAGGGTAACCAACAGGGAGGAACGTACTGAGACCCGACCTCACAGTTCGCACACAGTGCGAAGTAAAAAAACCAGCCCACATCGTGAATCTATAAAGAGCACCGTAAGGGGGAAAACCAACGTACAACCGACCAGTATCTCATGAGAGAAATCGAAAAGTAGTTACATATGTCAACAGCGGATATATCAATTATTCACAATTGACAACAGCGTCAACTGTCCAGATAACCAAGACTCAGTCAGTCAGGGTGGCAGGACACTGTCCACTGGAGAGAACAGAACGGCCAAAACACGCTCGATCACGTGAATGTGTATCAAGCTGATAGTGCCTTATAAAAGTGCTAGGCCTGCTCCAAATAGCGACAAAGCATATCTCTTCAATGGGCAGTACCGATGCAAAAGCCTTTGAAGTGGCCACTGCCCTGACCGAGTGAGCCTTCAACCCCTAAGCGGGGGGCTTGCCCTTAGCCTGATAAGCACTACAAATGGCCGATACAAGCCAGCGAGATAGGGTCTGTTTGCTAGCCGGCATCCCAGCCTTCCCGCCACCGTAACAGCAGAGCAGATGGGTACCCGTATGGATCCCTTGTGTTCGTTTGATATAGACGTTGAGGGTCTTACGGACATCCAACGGGTGAGAGCTCATTGCAGAGGTCCCCGATGTGGAAGGCTGGGTAAGAGTAGGAAGTTTGATAGGAGCTGTTACATGGAAAACGTGATCGATCTTCGGAAGGTAAGTATCCAGGAGGCGAATGCTGACACGATCTGGATGGAACACAGTCAGCGCCGGGTCTGCTGACATAGCATGTAAGTCGCCAACCCTTCGCCCAGATGTTACCGCCACCAGAAATACGGCCTTCCATGTTAACAACTGAATGGAAATAGCCTATAGACGTGAGAAGGTAGGACCGGACAGCCAATCAAGCACGATTGACAAATACCAAGGTGGGCTGGTACGCCTGAGAGCAGGTCGAACCCGATCCACGCCAGCTAAAAAGCGCTGCAGAAGAGGGTGCTGCCCCATAAGAGCACCATCGACAGGGGTGTGAAAAGTGAAAATAGTGGTGGAGTAGCCATGAATGGTCGAAGCCGCCAAGCCTTCTTCCAAACGAGCTTGCAGAAACTCCAATACTCGGACCAAATCTGCAGTAAAGGGATCTGTAATCCCCTTATCTGAACACCAGAGCGCATAGCGGGACCACCTATCCTAATACTGAACGTTTGTCGAATCCCGCCTCGAAGCCACAATTGTGTCTGCAACTGCTGCAGGAATTCGTGTGCCTCGAGGCTAGACCTGACAGAGGCCAAGCCACCACTGAATCCTTGGATTGGGGTGTGGCACACCGTTCTAAGTGAGAATGTCCGGTCGCAGAGGTATAATAGAACAGGAGGCTGAGCCAGAAACCTGAGAATTATCGGAAACCAGCTCTGTGACGGCCAAAGTGGTGCCAGTAGCACAAGTAGCCGAGCTGGCTGGGTGGACAGCTGGGAGGGGACCCGGGGAATGAGTGGTAGAGGCGGAAACGCCCACAGCACTTTGCCCATCCAATCCAGCAGGAAGGCGTCGGAAGCCAACGCCCTCTGGTCTGGTATTCGAGAGCAGAACACGGGTATCTGAATTGTCCCGCCGGACGAAAACAGATCCACCTGGAACGATCCGTACAACTGGGAGATAACTCTGCGACTGCGAATAGGCTGCTGGGAGCCAGACGAAGAGGCCTGCTCCTTGCCCTTACCTTTGGTGGGACGGCTCCTCCTCCTACCTCTACCCAGTGGCCGAAGCCAGCCAGCAGTCTCGGGCATAGGCTTTGCACCCGGAGGAAGAACCTGCTACAGGAGCGCGGAGCGAGAAGCCCGCGGTTGCTCCAACAAGGCCTTAGAGTCCTTGAAGGAGGTAGCTGCTGCAGCAGCCTCCCGAATGACCTGCTGTGCGCCCGGAAACAACTTTGCTCCCAGCTGAAACAGACGGACCAGCATGGTCGCAAAGTGTTGCTGCCGAATAACGGGATGTACACAGCCACAGCTTGCGCATCCGCATGACTGCGCACGTCACCGTAGACGCGGCAGACTGTAACGAGTCTCGCGTCAGGTGGGCCTGTACTTCGGATAGTTGGCGTGGACCACGACCCGCACCTGCTGCATGGCATTCCGGTAAACTTCCTCGTGTGTGTGTGTGTGTGTGTGTGTGTGTGTGTGTGTGTGTGTGTGTGTGTGTGTGTGTGTGTGTGTGTGTGTGTGTGTGTGTGTGTGTGTGTGTGTGTGTGTGTGTGTGTGTGTGTGTGTGTGTGTGTGTGTGTTTTTGCTCAGCCCAATGGTGGTACTAACCGGGCTGCACCTGAGGAAGCTGAGCCTCCCGGTGACCGAAGTAAACATGCACTCGTCAACCACCGGCACAAAGAACAGAGAATCATCCCCCAGCTGATACCTCTTAACGAGTTCGGGTAGATCGAACCGGAGGTGAGAACCAACCAGGAAGGGATCCATCACGTCCTGCACCAGGGAAGGCCAGATACGGAGCTGTGTCTGAGAGGGCTGCCTAGGGGCAAACGCCTCAACCGGCAGGCGGAACTCAGTCGAGTCCGAGCGACATGTCGGCACCGCGGCTTGGGGAATATACTCGGCAATACGTTGCCTAACCTCCCGGAGAGCCGACGAAAAAGGGAAAGTACCCTCCGACTCCTTGACCTCCCCAACCTCCATAGACTCGGCACCCGAGCCCGAGTCAGAATTCGGATCTCCACGTGAAGAGGAGTCAAGCCACAGACACCACGGGAAGGGAAGAGCCGAAGGAACTCTCAGCTCCGGCCACCGACACAACACTCGAAACCCGGTCCCGAGACGCGGGAGGAAGGCCGGGCAGAACCGGCTCCTCCGCTCTCATGGGGCAGGGTGGCGCAGGGACTGGAACCGCAGAAATCCTCAATGGACCCTGTGCCAACACCGAGAGAGGGACTGGGAGCGAACCCTTCCCCTCCGGGGCAGCCGAGGCATCCGGACCCGAAGCCAAAGGCAAAGGATCGACAGACGCCTCCAGGCCGAGGGATAGAGCCAAGCTCGGCGATCCCATCCCCGGACTCTTGGTCCCCCGATCAGAGTGGGCGAGGACCTCCTGCCAGAGACCTCCAACCAACTCGTGAACGAGGGACTTCACGGAGTCCATATGCTGCTGAAACAATTGTGTGATAAGTGACATATCAAAACCACTGGAGGGAGACAGAGAGTGCGACCTATACGAAATAGACTTAGAGTTAGTTTGCTTAGCCTTTTTGGCCTTTGACGGGGCACCTCCTGGGTCAAGTCCCTTCCCGCCTCATGCAATTCCTTGTAAAAATGGAAGTCAGCCGCCCGTCTCTTCTGGGCCCGGGGGAGAAGCCCATGCACAGCTCACAGATGTCAGGGTTATGCCCTGCCTTCTCCAGGCAGCATAAGCATTTGTCATGCTTATCAGAACGGGGAATATTTTGCCCGCAGGCAGCACACCCTGTAAACGCCTGAAAGCAAACACACAAGCATATGGCTAACGGCATCATAAATATACACGTACAAAACATTGAAAATTACATGAATGCGACAACGTGACATAAAATACTTGGTTAATAACGCAATATTTCAACCACGTAGCACGCTAAACTTCCCGCCATGGAATAGAAACACGTGCGTAAACCACGGGAAAGCGTAAAAGTTTAATACAGTCACATAAATGAGAAATAACAGACTGCAAAGTCCATTAAACATTTCTCAAAACGAATAAAGACCATACATACAGTTGTTGAAGACTCAGACATTCTTCTACAAGAAGTAAATCAGCTAGTAACTCTTGGGTAAATACGTGTGAACGCTAGAGTGACAGCAGAAGGAATGATTATACGGACCTAGGTGCTTACCTGGTTGGCTGCGCATGCGTAGCAGGGAGGTAACTCCACGTGATGGGGGCCGTATAATAGATAAAAAAGATTTTTATTTATTGTACAATATTTTTATTAAAACATTGATACAACTGTCACATGACATTTTCAGCCGCAGAAAATGCATATATGGACGATCTCTATGAAAAAGAATATATAGATGATCAAAAGTGTGGATCAGAAGAGCACTACCAACACATCCGGTAGATCAGCCAAGTGATGACAATCGTAATAAATGGAAGTAAATAGAAGAATTGAAAACATGTAATATGTTTTGTTCACAACCAGTCCCACTCCTGGAACTGGTCATATTGGGCACACCTAATCAGCCTAATGGAGTTACCTGGATATCATAGCTCTGTTGTGGAAATGTTACATAAAGAATTTGTATATGTTTTACGAGGGTCAGCAAATGTCCGATCACAAAAAACT